TTTTTTTTTTTGGTTAACTTACAAAACGAAAAAAACTTACAACAATAAAAGTGTTTATCTTGTTGTTTGTTCAAGTAAATATTTATGTATTTTTCTTTCTCAAAACATCTGTCTAACAATTAACTGCTTTTTTCGTTCTTTTCAGATGGCCACTGATAGCCGGTCGCGTAATTGCACTTATCGGATGCGCCATTTATATTTGTCTAGAAATGTTCACATCGGATCGTCGTTATATAATGCTTATTTGCTATGCATTCTTTGGCATTTCAATGGGTAATCATCGACAGCTTTATTGAAAGATGACCATTACTAATTTTATAGATATCTAAACAGCAAAAAAAAAGCGAATATCAAAGCAGTAAAAATCAAATATGTTACACAGCTTTTTTCTTAGGATAGAAAAGTAGTCAGTAGAAAAAATAATCTAATATACTGATTCAAATTATTTATTTTTTGTGCAGTGAGTTTTACTTCTTGTTATTAAGCATCGATGAGCGTTCTTCGTGGATATATTGCACGAATAAGTACAGTTACAGATCGACCAAAAGCATGCAGTGTATTTAGTTTAGCAATGGTTTCTGCAGTTTCCGTTGGACCAGGTAAATTTTGCTGTGGAATAAAAAAACAGATATTTTTTTGTTATTTTATTTATTTGTGTAAAAGATCCTTTTTTTTTGAAGTTCAACAGGAAACAAAAGAAAAAAAACCGATTATCAATAAAGACTTCCAGTGTTCAACAGCCTTAAAAACAAAGATCAAAATGGAAAAAAAAACAGCAACAAAATTGATATTTTTCTAAAATTATTTCATAACTGAAAGAAAAAAGCCAGTTTTACATAGAATTTTATACGTCACAAAAAAAGATTTTTTCTGAGGAATTATTTCCATTTTTGCAATAATCAATTTTTTTTCCCAATTTCTAAAATATTAGTGTTCAACGGTTGCTTCAATACAAAATATATTTTTTAAAAAAAATGAAATAATATTTTCGATCAAACTTCATTGCATTTTTTTTCTTCCGCAAACTTTTACTTTCAGTAAGTAGTCTTAGTAAGCCGCAAAAAGAAAGTCTGTGTTTTTACAGCCTGTATATGTACGTTTATTTCAAGTACATTAGGGACGGACATGCTGAA